CAAGGAATGGCAGTAGGAAGCGTTAAAAGTCTTTGTTAAACCATTTTGTTTTTCTAACCAAATAACTTTGTATGTCCAGTAAAGCACTGCGGTTCATATACTACAAGAGGCTTGAATCTTAGAGGGAGTGTTATTAATAGGAAGCATTTTTTGGTGTTGCATGGTGTAACAGCATGCATGGTGCAGAGCATACCTACTGTGAGTTCACAACCCAGGCTGCAGTGAAGTCCCTTGTAACACAGGTGAGCGCCTAAAAAAACACCTCAGATTCATTATACATCGGACTGATTGATTGATTTATTATTATTTATTTATTTTAGTAATACTGTCTCATTTAACCCAGGCTTGTCTTGAATCAGCTGTGTAGCTAAGAGTGACCTTGAACTTCTCATCTTCCTGCCTCTGTGTCCTGAGTGTTGGGATACAGGTGTATACCATCATGCCTAGCTGCATATTTGATTCTGAATTAATTTTTGTTTGTTTCATATCTAGAAACTTTTTACAGTTGCAGAACTTTGCAGCTCCCACATTCAGTTACATGACTGCATGTGGAGTTGTAACCCACAGTTTAAGAAGCTGTGGTCTATACCGTAAACCTACTGAGCAATAAAGAGGAGATCTGTTGACTCAAAACAACATGCATAATTCTTCAGAGGATTGAACTGAGTACAAAGAGCTAATCCCAGAAAGTAATGTACTGTATAATTCTATTTATATAACATTCTTGAACCAAGCTTATGCCTGTAGTCCCAGCACTTGGAAGGCTGAAGTAGGAGGATTGCTGTGAATTATAGGTTAGCTTGGGTTACATAATGAGTTCCAGGCCAGCCTGGGTTACAGAGTGAGAGCATCTCACAAAAACAAAACAAAATCCCCAAATTAAGTACCTAAGACATATGTCAAATCATTGATAATCATTGAATATGCAGTGGCAAACAAAAGTTGACATAAGGCAAGGCCTCCAGATACATCCTAGAACAGAAGATCAACACATTAATAAAATGATCTCTGCATAAGGATATTACAGCAATGGTAAATGCTATAAAGGGAGAGCTATAAGAAGGATTACTACTTATATTTCAAATATTCTTACTGAATATTTGACATAGGGAAGATTTGACTGAGGTACTAAGGGATCCTTTTTTTTTTTTTTTAAAAAAAAAACAAAAAAACTAGCTTCATGGCTTTGGTTAAACTGTTAAAAATTTCTGTTTCCTCATCTGTTAAGTGGAGACAGTAACAACACCCAGACCTCATTGTTGCATTATATTTAAGACAAGTATATTTTTAAGTGCTTATGCTAGTGCTAGATATAAGATATGTTTATTAAATAAATGGGGTACTTTTGTTTGTTAGGTGTTGATTTTTTGAGATAGAGTCTATGTTTCGTAGGGTGGCCTTGAACTCCAGGTAATCCTACCTCAGGCTCTTGAATAGTTGAGGTTACAGGAATGTGCCAGATGCCCAGCTAATTAATAACTTGATGTGAAAATTGAAGAATGAATAGGAATGTTAGGTGGAAGGGGTTACTGAAGGTCTTCTGCCAGAAGGCAGGCAAGATCCTGGTGGTGCTGAGAGATTGAAAGATTAGTGGTCTAGAGTCTCTAAGAACTACATACTGCAAAATGAAGCTGGGAACTAGGCAGGGACAGGCAGCGTGGGACTTTGTCTGCTTTGTTAAGGAGTTTTTTCCTAAGGATGTGGAAAATGATTAAAATATTTTAATCCATGGAATAGGGCGAGATTGCTAGACTTTTTTTTTGAAGTCCTGGATGTTGTACAAATATCAAATTAGAGGTAGTGCTTCAACCAAGATCATTTAGAAATGTATTATAGTAAACCAGGCTTTATCTCTGGGGATTTTCACAGGTTATGTCTAATCTTCATAACCGCAAGAAATATGCTTGCAAGCTGTTACATATTTTGAAGTAGTTTTTAGTATATTTTTACAATTCAAAAGAAGAGGTGACTTTACATTATTTTTCTGATGTGCAAAATTTCAACTGCTGTGTATGGCTTAAATAGTTTGTATGGAGAAGCCTTGGAGTAGAACCTAAAAAGGTTTAACGGTGTTACTCAGGTTTTTCTTCTGTTGTATTTTCTTCTGTTGTATCTTTATGTTACCCTAGAAATTTGAATGTTTTATAGTACTGTTCAATAAAATTGTCTTGCAAGTGTGAGTTACATATGTCACTTTAAACATTTTGGTAGCCACTTTAAAAAACTAAAAAGAGGCTGGGCGTGGTGGTGCATGCCTTGAATCCCAGCAGAGGTAGGGGGATCTCTGTGAATTTGAGGCCAGCCTGGTCTGCATATCAAGTTCCAGGTGAGCTGGGGCTACAGGAAGACCCTGTCTCAAAAAGATAAAAAAAAAAAAAAACCCACAAAAAACTGAAAATAGAGTTCTGAGATTTAATTCAGATATGGATATATATATAATTTAATCCAGTATAGCTTAGGTGTTTTAATCTGTAATAATGTATAGATTGTTAAGATATTTGGCTTTGTTTTTCTCTTGTCTTAGGAATTTATAAGCGTTTTACACTTGAAGCACATCTCAATTTGGACCAGCCATGTTTCCAGGGCTTAGTAGCCATGTGTGGCTAGTGTCTGCTACATTAGGTTTATGGGTTTCTGAGTTCATAAGGGATTTTTTAAAAAAGTCATTAAGTTTATAGAAAAAGTAACTCATGAAGTCTTGAGTTAATTAGTGTGTTTGGATGCTCTTACTATAAAGAATGGTCTGGAGGCTAAGTCTCACAGGTGTTATGGAATTAAATTTCTAGTGCTCACTTGGTAGTTTATAAAGGACTTTTAGTGTTGATATAAAGAATGTGTTGGAACTTTCTGATTGATGTCCCAGTACAAAGAAGAATTGAATTATTAGGAGAGATTTCCTGGTCCTGTGTATCCTCTAGTGGTCACTGAAGTATACTATCACAGAAGTGTAGGGAAGTGAGCCTGGAAGGTCTGGCTTTCCAAAATTTTGCCATACTTGCTTTCATAGAGCAAAATTTAGATGATTCTTGAACTAGTGTTTATTTTTATTGAATCTTTTTGATTATTTACCGGAGAGTCATAATATTTAATTTAGTTGTCTCAAACTGTGAAATTCTTGGCACAAATAGTTATTTTCATATTTTGCTATTTTTACATTTAAAAATGTAAAAGTTTTAAAAATTAATATAGTAACAATCAGAATATTGTAATAGACCTTTTTCTGATAGAGGAAACTATAAAACAAAGTTACAGAACGTTGTAATTTATTTGCAAGTTTTGTTTATTCTTCCAAGACTATCTTAATACTGTTGCAGAGGGGCTTTGTGTGTTGGAAATTGAATATGTTTCTCTTTGATCTCATTAGCTGAATAAGTACTTTAGAATTTATTGCCCATAATCTGTGCCAGTCATTGTGCTAGATTATGAGAATAGAGATGTGCTTTCAACAGCTCTTGAGTACTTTTTTGAAGTAATCTTTAAGGGAGCTTACATACTAAATCAAAAGATTGTTATTATTTAGTAATGTTCTCAAAAGACCCAGTTTGTGAATACCTTTGTTTTTGTTATTAAGGCTCTCTTAGTAGTCCATGAACAGGAGGATGATTTACCACGGATGAGACACCTAGGCCATCTTAAGTCTTGACTGAAGTGTGGTAACTTTCATGCTTTCCTGTTTTGTGTACCTACTGTGACTTATTTAATCAGCCTTATTGTACAAACCTTAACTGGTTTGACTGCTTTTTGGGTTGTGCTCTCTTCCCACACAGGTACTTTTCAGCTCTATTACTAATCCCAACACATTTAACATTGAGTTCTTATTTTGATGTTGAACTCCTAAGTAGATTATTTCTTTTGGACTATAAAGAGCAAGAACAATGAATTCTAATTTTATTTTATTTTACTCACTTAAAAAATGCTATTCTTTCATACTAATTTTATTTTACCTACTTAAAAAAGTGGAAATTGAGGCTGGAAATATGGCTCAGAGGTTAAGAGCACTGACTGCTCTTGCAAAGGACCTGGGTTCAAATCCCAGTACCCACATGGTGGTTAACAACCATCTGTAACTCCAGGTCCAGGGGATATGATGCCCTCTTCTGAGCTCTGTGGGCATGGGCTTGCTTATACACATGCAGGCAATATATTCATACACATAAATAAAAATAATAAAATATTTTAAAAAAATTGATACCTATTTTCATTTTTTCCATGGCTGATTCACCATGAGCTACAAAAGATAGAGAATAAAAATAATTTTAAAATGTAAATTACAGTGTTAACTAAGTACATTTTAAATTATGTGTATATATTTGTATTTGTGTATGGGTATGTACTCATGAGTGCAGGTGTCCTTAAAGGCCAGAAGAGGGCATTGGATCCCCTGGAGCTGAAGTTACAGATGGTTGTGAGCTTCCTGACAAGGCTGCTGGGACCCAAACCCAGTTCTGGAAGAGCAGTATCTGCTCTTAACCGCTGCACCATTCCTCAGTCCCTCACAATGTTAATTTCTCACGTTAGGTAATTCTTGCATGAGGTAGAATACACATGGCACAGTTCCCCTTTCAAACCTGGCACTGCAGCTATTTGTTTCCACCCTGTGGGTAGCTTTCTTGGAAAACCCTCTACAGTCTCTTCCTAAACAAGTAATTTCTCCACTGTAGTTCTTCCCCTGTCCCTTTTGTGGGGGGAAGAATGTACACATATTAAAGCAACTATATATCTGTCTCTGTGCTTTATATATTTTTTAACTTAGCTGATCTTGAAGATTGTTTTATGGCACTGTTTGAAGGGAGTTTTCTCTTTTATACCTGCTTAGTGCAAAGAAATTAAATCATTCCTCACCACTTAGCATAATATAGGTAGTTATTGTTGCAGTGGATGAACTTAATAGTTTTTTTTAAACACAAAGATCATAACTTTCCTTTTGTGATGTTAGATTTCATGATTTTTATTATATGTTGGGAAAATGTTAATGTCATTTTTTTCCCCTTTTTTTCCAGATAATCAGACAGCTAAATGGAGTCTGAGCAGCTGTTCCATAGAGGTTACTGTAGAAACAGCTACAACAGCATAACGAGTGCAAGTAGTGATGAGGAGCTGTTAGATGGAGCAGGTGTGATTATGGACTTTCACACTTCTGAAGATGACAATTTGTTAGATGGTGACACAGCAGTGGGTGAGTTCAGCATGACAGCTCAATATCTGTAGTCATGAGTATTTGCCGGTAACTATACTTTGTTTTATTGAGATTAACTTTTAGGGTAACTTCTTACAGCTGAGATAAACTCAACAGCATAAACGTAACCATTTAAAAGTGTATATCTCAGTAGCCTCAGTGCATTTACAGTGTTATTCTAAAAAAATTCATCTGTCTCCCAACCCCCAACATTTAACATTAAACTGTTAAATTTAAATATAATACACAGATGTGTGTAGTCATTAACCCATAGCTATGGAAATGGATGAATATACGTAAAATAGTTTGTGTGACTTTCCTGTTAGGAAGTAAAATATAACCAGCATTCTCAGAATCTTTTCTTCTTTCCCCATCAAATGTAAATATTATTTCTGCTTAGATTGGTTTAACAGGTATTTAAACTTTATATAAGTGAGGTCATTCTGTTCGAACTCTTGCATCTGGCTTTTTTAACTTGGATTTTGAGATTGTCTGAGTTGTGTGTGACAGTGGTGATTTCCATTGCCGTGTATGACAGTGGTGATTTCTATTGCTGTGTAGTAATTGATAATACACTGCAGTGTAGTTATTCTACTACTGGTATCTGTCACTGCAGATTTTAGCTGTTATTAATAGCATGTTAAAATTTTTCATATGCATGTGTTTAGTGCATATAATGAGCATAACTCTTAGATATGGAGTATGCATATCTCAGCGTCACTAGGTACCACCAGAGATACTCCAACATGGTTCTGGTGTGTTCATTTCTTCTTGATTGACTTTTTAGGTTGCCTCTTTGGAAGTGCCAGATAAAACTGACTATTTTATGGAAGTTCATTATGTATTCTGATTCATCAGATACACTTACTGTAAGTGTCTTCTCTCACTCTGTAGTATGTCTTTTCATTTTCTTATAGGGTCTTTTGGTGAAGGCATCATTGATTCTAATGAAATCTAGCTAGTGTTTTTCTTTATTATTTTTACTTTCTACATTCCCTCTGAACTGGGTGTGGTGGGCACATATGTAATCCTGGATGCTGAGACTGGAGAATAGAGAGTGGAGTCCAAGGCCAGTCTGACTTCATAGTCAGATTATATTTAAAAAAACAAGATTTCATATACTTCAGGAGCACAAAGATTATGTTCTGTTTTCTTCATGTGTCATTCACATTCAGATCTAGAATATGCTTACAGTTAATTGTTGTGTATAGTGTGAATAAGAATTCATTTCTCCCATGCACATAACTGGTTGGTCCAGTATAATTTCTCTAGTGGTATCTTGTCATGTATCCAGTGGCTGTATTTCTGGCTTTCTACTCTGCTGTGTTTCTGAAATACCTGCCTTTTCTTATACCAAACCTCATGTATGAGTTGTATAGTTAAATTTGTCCTCATCTTTTGTTGACTGGTAGCCCATTTACATTTAGCATAACTAATTTAGTTTCAAGTCTTTCTGGTTTGCATTTGTTTTCTTTGTCATGTGTTCTTTGCTTTCCCCTGGTTACTGCTCCTCCAAACCTTGTTAGCTGTGTGTTCTCTTACACTAGATTATATGCATATCTCTGTAGCCTTCATTTATTTGTTCTGTAAGTCAGTGCTTCTACCATCGCATGAAGAAATCCAAATACCTTAGGACACTTGACCTCTTTTATAGCCTTATCCTGCTTTTTTGCACTTTTATGAGCCTCAATTTTAAGTTTTCACACATATGTATACAAATATATAGACATATGTAGTAAACATATTTGTAAATATATATTTACTACAATTCACACACACACATACACACACACACACACACACACACACACACATTTAAGTGATGGGATTTTGCTGTTTTCCAGATTTGCCCCGACTTCCCTGGCAAAAGTGATTCTTTTTCCTGTTTCCTGAGTAACTGGTACTACAGTTGTGCACCACTGTGCCCAGATTCTTCACATATATTTAAATTATAAAAAGTATTACTACAGGGACTAGAGAAATGGCTCATTGGTTAAGAGCCCTGGCTACTCTTGTAGAACACCAGCATTTGATTCCCAGCACCCACGTCGGGGCTTACAACAGTTCCCAGGGTTCCAACATCTTCTTTTGGCCTCTGAGGACATTGCACACATGTGGTACACTTGGTCTGGCTGTTTGAAAGGCGTAATTTCCCTTTTTCTTCTTCATGCCTTTCTAACTAAACATCCTTTCTTTAGGCTTTGGGCTGCCCTAGCATCTCATATTTCTTCACTTTTTCTCTAAAGCTTCCTTCTCCCAGCCATGTGGCTGCCAGTCAGCCCTGTGTCTGACCTCTCATACAGGCTCTAAGCCTGCATGGCTTCATGGCTTTCTTTCCTTCTTCCCACTATTCACCTCCTCAGGGCAGCTGCCAAGATTACCAGCTCGCCTGCCCTGAGAATTTTTCTTTAAGATTCTAATAAAAATGTAAAAGCTTTAAAAAAAAGAATCAGAAAGAAAACCACTGCTCTATCAGCAGCCTCCTCAGGGAACTCATTGGAAGCTGCATGGCTATTCCTTTCCTTTCCTTTCCTTTCCTTTCCTTTCCTTTCCTTTCCTTTCCTTTCCTTTCCTTTCCTTTCCTTTCCTTTCCTTTCCTTTCTTTCTTTCCTTCCTTCCTTTCTTTCTTTCTTTCTTTCTTCCATTCACCTCCTCAACACAGCTGCCAAGATTACCAGCTCTCCTGTCCTGAGGATTTTTCTTTAAAATTCTAATAAAATTGTAAAAGCTTAAAAAATGAATAATTTAAGCAACAGCAACAAAACCCAAAGAGTTACAGCTGTTGTTTTATACAGGTGTCCAGATTTTTTAAAAAAATGGTTCCTGGATGATAAAACCCAAGACCACATAGATTAGACAAATGCTTTACCATGAGTTACAGCCTAGCCTGTTTTTCTTTATCTTTACTTTTTAAAAGCTTAAGCAGAATAAGCTAAGTGTTGTTTTCTGTGTATTTACCCTCACTGGTGTTATTAGAGAAACATCAATATGTGACTTGATTTTATTTTACTAGTGTATCTCCAAATGTTTCTGCCATTTTCCCCCTTTCTATTAAATGATTCTAATTATATGTGTTAGGGTTTCTCACTATGACACCTATACTTTTCTGTATTTTCTATCTTTTCATGTAACTATCTCAAGTAACTGGAGTAAACATTTTGGTGCATCATAGCTGAATATTATGGTAAGAGTACATTTAATTTTATAAGAAATGAGCATGCTGTCTTCCCGGTGGAGAGTTCCTGTTCCCTCACCTTCTCGCTAGTGTTTGGTGGTATCATTGTTTTGGAGTTTAGCCATTCTAATAGCATAGTACATACTGTGTCTTTTGTTATTTCTTTTTTTTAAAAAATTTAATCTTTTTAATGTATATGAGTGTCATGCCTGCATGTGTGTAAGTGCACCCATGTTGTGAAGTGCCCACAGATGGCAGAAGAGGGTGTTGGATCCCCTGGAACTGAAGTTATGGATGGTTGTTAACCACCATGTGTGCTGGGATTTGAATCCGGGTTGTCTGCAAGAACAGTTAGTGTTTTTAACCATTGAACCATCTCTCTAGCCCCTATCGTTTGTTACTTCTACTTTTAAAATTTCAGTTATTATTTATCTGTTCTACTTCTTTTTGGTTATTTTTTATGTGTTTTAATACTCTTAAGAAATTCTGTTACTATGTACCTTTTTGAGAATATTAATCACTTTTTTGACATCTGTGTCAAGAATCTCAGTATCTGGACCATCTTTGGGTCTGTTTCTGGTACCTGCTTTTGTCTCCTCTTTGATCTTTTGACTTTAGCTCCTGGTGTGTAATTGCTAACTGAGTACTGGATACTATATATGAATAGTTGTGGAATCTGTGGATGATGATGATTTTCTTCACCAGAGTGTAATTTTTTCCCTAGTAGATGGGTAGTTTAGGATTCATTGAAGATCAAGAGAATTTACCATGTTTTTAGACCTTCTAAGAGTTGGTCTGTTTTAGAATGACTTTATTTTTAGGACATTGCCTTTGAGAATTTTTGTAGAATTACAGCATTTGCCTGAAATCCTTCTCTACAGTGGGTACTGAAGCTTACTTTTTGCCTCTGCAGCATTTTGAGATTGCTACAGCTCTGCTTTTCATTTTAGTCCTTTAATGACTGACTGCTCATTTGCCTTTTACTTATGAAGTTTGGGGTCATAAATATTTTAGGAACAGAGTGGCATGGAATGAACCATTTGTTATCTTTTCTCCAGGTATTGGCTCATTCAAGTTCTCATTGCTATGCTGGTTCTGTACAATCACGTTTTGACTTCTTGACACATTCAGACTGTCAAAAGTTCTCAGTCATCATCTCTCCTGGACTTGCTCAGTTACTCGATTTGAGAATCAGGAAATGGCACAAAGCAAAAATGGTTGAGGCTGTTGGGTTTACTTCCTTGTTCCATTTCTTTTCAAACCTTGACATCTCAAGGCTGGCTTCCTTGGGTATTCTTTGATTTAAATAAGAGTACTTTGCATTATTAGCCATCTGATTTTTTTTTTCATCTTTTTTTCACCTAATTTTCAAAGTAAGTGATTTTTTTTTGAGACGGTCTCCCTTTAGCCACAGCTGGCCTGGAACTCACTATGTAGCTCAGGCTGGCCTTGATCTCATAGAGATCCTCCTGCCTCTGCCTCCAGAGTGCTGGGATTAAAGGCATATGCTACCACACCTGGCAAAATAAGCGATTATTACTGACAGTTCTAAACTAGAATACATGAAGTCATAACTTGAAAAATTAGATGAAATTAACAGCATACTCATTTTTTCTCTCTTTAACCAGCTTTTTGGTTCTTTATGTGAGGTGTAAAATTAACTCAGGAAAGTGGAAAGGCATAAGGAAATTCCAGCTCTTTCCATCTTTCCACACTGATGTCTTCACTCAGTCTTTTCTTACTTTTAATTTATAAAATAAATAAAAAAATTTATGTGTATGAGCATTTTGCCAGCATATATGTAAGTGCACTGTGTCGTGCAGTG